ACATACATATATATACACAGTTGTTGTTAAGTGCTGTCTAGTCGATTCCTGCTCATAGTAACCCCATGTGACAGAGTAGAACTGCCCCATAGGGTTTTCTTGGCTGTAATTATTACAAAAACAGATTGCCAGGTATTTCTCCCACAGAGCCACGGGGTAGTTTCAATTGCTACTTTGGCTAGCAGCCAAGTGCTTAACCATTTGTGCCACCTGGGCTCCTTATACATGAATATTTTAATGCCATGATACCTTCTTAAGACTCTCTCCTGAAGCACTGCTGCCTCTCAAGTGAATGACACTCACCTCACATGTGTTTTCTGGTTGTCATCCTGCTCTTCAACGCCATGCAATTTGTAGATTTCTCCTACCATGGAGGACCAGATGTCATTTCTCATGAATCGTACTATTATATTTTCAGTGGATAGCTTTTCTCCATCATTAGGGTTTCGAGAAACTGACTCAATGATTTAAGTTGAGGTTCACAATATAAAACAAAAAGGGAAGAAATTACTCAGAGAGAAAAGGTAGCTGTGAGAAGAGAAAGACTTTGACACATTTCACTGTTTCAGTACTTTGGCAATGGTCAAAAAGCAATTTACTAGGAAATACTTCCATGAAGATTGAGAGTGAGAGTGACATAAATAGGGTATAAATAGAAGAGCAAAGTATAAAGGTACTGGACACAATGTACATGGAACATTAAAAGAGGAAAAGGGTTAGACAGTCTTTCTCCAAGAACACAAGTGTGTTAGGACTGATGAAAGTCAGAAAAGCAAACTCAAGTATCTGTGAAGTACACACTCCTCAATCCCAAAGAGATTTTTTCTAATTGATTTATTCAAATCTCATTCCCTCCATGCAGGCCTGATCCCTCAAAGGATTCTTGCCTCCTGGTGCCCTCCAAAACAGTGGTCCTGGATGAGCATTATCTAAACTCTTCTCACATCTTCGTCTTGCTACTCTGGGAGAACAAATGGGTGTAGCTGACTTGGTACCTGTGTCAACTTGGCTAAGCCATGATTCCCAGTATTGCGTGGCTGTCCTCCATTTTGTGATCTGATGTAATTTTCCTATGTGCTGTAAATCCTAATCTCTACCTGTGGTTAATGGGGTAAGATTAGGTTATGTTAAAAAGGATTAGGGTGGGATGCAACACCCTTACTCAGGTCACAGCCCTGATCCAATATAAAGGGAGTTTCCCTGGGATATGGCCGGCATCACCTTTTAACTTGTAAGAGATAAAAAGAGAAGCAAGCAGAGAGACAGGGACCTCATACCACCAAGAAAAAAAGCACTGGGAGTGGAGCACATCCTTCAGACCCGGGGTCTCTGCACTGAGAAGCTCCTAGACAAGGGAAAGACTGATGACAAGGATCTCCCCCCAGAACTAAAGGGAGAGAAAGCCTTCCCTGGTAGCTGGCACCCTCAATTCGGGCATAGCCTCCTAGACTGTGAGAGAATAAATTTCTGTTTGTATTTCTGTTTGTTAAAGCCATCCACTTGTGGTATTTCTATTATAGCAGCACTAGATAATTAAGACAGTGCTCATGGAGAAAGGCATATCATGAGGGAAGACGAAGAAGTGCAGTGAACACTTCCCTGACACTAAGCCAGTACTTTGGTCTTCAGGGTCTCTGGAGATGGGCAGGTGTAAATTTATTTGTAGCACAATAATCATGTCAAACTTGTAATAAACACAGTAAAACTCTTTACAAGGTCCCAGACCACAAATATTCTCTGTGTACCGAAGAAAGCCCTGAAGTCAATCCTCATACTTACAACATTTAAAGGGCCTTAAGGCTTTTAACTACAATTGAAATGAGAAGTCAGTTTAATACACAGAGCTTTGTATTCACAGGGAAGCCAGGCTATGCATGCTCTAGAGAGCAAACGACCATGCTGTCCTATTTAACAATGTATTCTCATTCCTCAGCCCACACACTGGAGTAACATCTATGAGTACGACATATTTGGTCACTAAAGAATTAAAAAAAACAAAGAAGCTATCCATACCTACTGAGGCCAGGTTTCTGAAGGTTTCTGTCATCACCTCTCTGTAGAGTTTCCTCTGAGAAAGATCCAGTAATGCCCACTCTTCCTGGGTAAAGTCCACAGCCACATCCGCACCAGTCACTGAGTCCTAAAATATCCCACATATTCTGGTTCAGCAAAGTACCATGTACTCCAGTTTGTGTGAAAGGAAGGGTGAAGCTGACAATTTTGGGGAAATGAGATTTCATGGGGATTTGACACAGGGTTCTGTGTCCTACTAAGGCCTACTTCAGGGTTTACCCATCAACCTCATCCTTTCACTGTCTACATTCACTTCCTCACTGACTGCATCCTGTCTCAGAGACTTAACAATACTTCCAACACAATGAACTTATCTCTCCAGTTTGACTGTGACCAACCCCAGTCTCATTCATCTCTGTCTTTATGGTCTAGAACAGTCAGAACACATAGCATAAATTACAGAAAAGCTTTGCAGTGAAAGTCTTATTTCTACACTCGGATCATCTCTTCCTTCTGCGGAAAA